AAGAAGAAGAAGAAGAAGAAGAAGAAGAAGAAGAAGAAGAAGAAGGAGAAGAAGAAGAAGGAGAAGAAGAAGGAGAAGGAGAAGGAGAAGGAGAAGGAGGAGAAGGAGAAGGAGAAGAAAGGAGAAGGAGGAGGAAGAGAAAGAGGAAGAGAAAGAAGAGGAATGAGGAAGAAAGAGAAGAGATTGAGGAAGGGATGGAGGGAAATAGAGACAGAGACAGAAAGAGAAAGAGAAGAGAAACAGAGCCAGGGAAAGAGGAGAGGGAGAGGAAAGGAGAGAGAGAGAGAGAGAGAGAGACAGAGAGAGAGAGAGAGAGAGAGACAGAGACAGAGACAGAGACAGAGAGAGAGACAGAGGGACAGAGAGAGAGAGAGAAACGATAACTGGAGGGATCAGGAAAGGACTCATCTGAGCCAAGTTTTGAAGGCAGTTAGAGATTCTAAGGGGTAGAAGTAAGTAGGGAACATAGTCTAGACATGGGAAATAAGTTGTGCACAGGTAGGGTATGAAATGTTGTATAGAGGGATCAGTGAATTGTCCATTTTAGCCAGAATAGAGAGTTGTGAAGGGGAGGAATATGGAATATTACTGAGAATGTAGGTGGGAGTCAAATTGTGGAGGACATTAAAAGCCAGGCTGAAGATTTTGTATTTTATCGTAGAGGCAATAGGGAGCCATGAAGATTTTTGAGAAGGTGAGTAACATTGTTGTATCTGTGCCCCAGGAGTATCAGTTTGGCAGCTCTGTGAAGGATATATTGCAGAAGGGAGATGCTGGAGCCTGGAAAGCCACTTGGAAGACTATTGCATTAGTCTAGGTCAGAGGTGGTGAGGATCAGAGCAGAGGCCAAGCCTAGGAAGAGGAGATGGGGGCAAGAGATGTGGGCCCAGAATGGACAAAACCTGGGACTACAGCATATCTGAGGAAACTTTGTTCCCTTCCCAAGTGGTTGTTTGAAAACCATTTCAAAGACTCAGACTCACATTCCCAGCCAATCGAGTCCTTTATTAACGAACCATGTAATTTTGTAACCAGTTCTTAATAAATGCAATTATAGAATCCCCTTCAGAGAAACAGATTTACAAGGCTCTAATAGCCTACGGCTCAATCGACTCTTTTAACTACTTATAAATTTTCTTCTATTGAACTTCTTAGATAACCTGCCCCCCTCCAGTCTTTGCTCACGCCATTGGTCCTCCAGGCTTGTAAAGGCCTCCCTTGGTCTCTCTCTCTCTCCCTGTCCTCTTCCATGGATCTCTGCCTGTTGAAATCTTTCTCCTCATTCAGAGCTAAGAACTGAGCCCAGACCTAGGACTCCAAATCCAGTGCCCTTTCCATTAAACCATGCCTGGAAAAATCACTTACCATCTGTAAACCTGTTTCCTCATCTATTAAATGAGGAAAGTAATACTTGCATTAGAAAATTTTAGGAGGAAAGTTGTTTTGTAGATCTTAAAATGCTAGAGAAATATGAATTATCATAGTTGGTCGGCCAATAAGCACTTATTAATTAACTACTATGGCATCTAGGTAGCACAGTGGGTATAGAGTTGGGACTGGAGTCAGGGAGATGAGTCTTTCCCAGTTCAAATTTGACTTCAGACACATCTTAGCTGTGTGACCTTGGACAAATCACTTAACTCTGTTTGCCTCAGTTTCTTCATCTATAAAATGAGCTGGAGAAGGAAATGGCAAACTACGTTAGTATCTTTGTGAGGAAAACTCCAAATAGGCTCGTGAAGAGTTGGACTTGACTGAAAAACAACTAACAGCAATCACCTACTACATACCAGGCACTGTGCTAAGCCTTGAAGAAAGGTCGAAGAAAATCCCTGCTTTCAAAGAGCTCACCATGCAACATGCAAACAACTCTGTACAAACAAGCTCCATACAAGGGAAACTGGAGATAATCATCAGAGGGAAGGCACTAGAATTAGGGCATTGGGAAAGACTTTCTCAAGAAGGTGGAATTTTATTTGGGACTTGAAGGAAACTGGGGAAGCCAGAAGGTGGGGAAGAGGAGGGAGAGCATTCCAGGCATGGGGGACAGCAAGGAAAATGCCTGAAGTCATGAGATGCAGAGTCTCGTGGGAGGAACATCAAGGAAGGCATTGTCGCTGGATGGAAGAGCACGGGGGGGGGGGGGGGAGTGTAGAGTGCAAGGAGACAGGAAAGGTGGGGATGGAGGGGCAGGTGATGAGGAGCTTTGAACATCAAACAGAGAATTTTATATTTGATCCTGGAGATGATAGGGAGCAGCCACTGGAGTTTATTGAATGGGTGTAGGGGGGGAGGGGTGATGTGGTCAGATCCTATTTAACAATCGTTCACTAAAACATGAATCTTGTGTTTAATTTATCTTTGTACATGTTTTATGCACCATCCCTCAGTAGGATACATTCCTCCAGGCTGAGCATAGGACTTTGAACTTGGATGCTGAATGCATGCGTGTTGAACTGAATGAAATCTATTCTCACTGGTTTCTCTAAATTCCAAAGGTGAGCCTCAGTGCCTGTTGTCTGCTACAAGCACGGTGGCCTTTGCTGGTTATGGATTGTAACCTGTGTTCTGTAGGTAAGTTCTAAAAGACAAAGACCCTAAGTCTTCCTTGAAGCTAAGTAGTGTTTGTTTTCCAAATTGGGTTATCCTTATTCAACCTAGGGGAAGATCAGCAAATGTTTCCTTTTCCCTCTCTAAAATGAAACCAAACTGTGAAAACATGGCTGCCAGCTCTTCTCCCTGACTGTTTGGCCCGATCAGCGGGCTTTTGAAATTAGAACTGAATCTTGGGCTCACCTCAGCTTGACTTTTTGAAGCCTACACTGATGGCTTATGACTCACTCGTGCTGTTCAAGGTACCAGTGATAGCAAAGGTTGTTAACTCAAGGCTGAGCTCACCAAACATCGCCCATTGTTTCTGTAAAAACATTTTAGATGAGAGGATGTTACAATTTCATGGGAAGAGTGCTTAAGTACATGCTGGAAACCATATGATGATGACAGACAGATTGGGGATTAGAGGAGCCAATGCTGACTGTGGTCAGCTGCTAGGTTTTATCTTCACTGACCATTCAATCTACCCACCAGGTAATAGGGTAAAGATGGCACTGAGAACTGACCATGGGGTTTTGTTATAACATGTTCATGGAGGCAGCAAATTGCAGTCAAAAGGCTTGTATTTAAAGGTCTGGTTCTATCACTAGGTCTCTGTGTGGCCCTGAGTAAGGCATTAATACTCTCTCAACCTCAGATTCCTAATCTGTAAAATGGAGATGATACAATTTGGCCCAGCTACGGCTTTCGAATCAGGCACACATGGGTTGGAGTCTTGCCTCTTTCACATATTGGCTGAGTAACCCCTAGTCAGGTCACCTACTTTCTCAGTGCCCTAGGCAACTCTAAGACTTAATGGCACAGCATTAATAATCTGCATTAGCAAAGGGCATTTCTTCATTGGGAATTCCCCATACCAAGGAAATCCAAGGTACAACCCAAAAAACGAAATCCCCCAAACTTCTTGTACCTATCTCACAGGAGTGTTATGAGGATAGCACTTTGTAAATTGTAAAGTTCTCTATAACTGTGATTGCTGTCATTATTATTCCAGAGATGTGCTGGTAAATGTTTCACAACAGGCTCTCTGGGGGAAGGAGTACCTAGGATACACTTTTAAATTCAATCTGCATTTTTAAACTTTTCCTTTATTGCTCTCTTAAGTCTATACAATCAACAGAAGAATAAATCAAGCCCTGATGTTTGCTTCTTTTCAGGTATAAATGCTCATGCCGAAAAGTTAACAACAGGCTCTCCTAAGATGTTTGAGCTGGCTCTGGCATGCCCTTGAATGTAACCAGTTTGTCCAATGGGATCCCTAGATCCCTCTCCTCTTGGCAGATTGGCTGGATTTATTCTTGCTGAGATCCTCTAAATACTAATTGATATCGCTTTTGTTTGCCACCTCCCAGAAGTCTCTCTGGGAATATTTGAATTTGGGTTGTCAATGTAGCTCTTTTCTAGTTCTCTTGATTGCAAAGGGACCATGAGTGTGGATGATTCAGTGCAGTTCCATCCCTGCTGCTGGGGACATAACTCCATGTGTATGTCCCATTGACGGCAGGACAAGAACACCATCTCAACAAGGGAGCAGAGGCTCCTTGGCAATTGTTTGACTCTCTTTAGTTCCCGCTTATCCTCAAATCTATCCATTCTTCCTTCTGGGTTCTGGACTGATTCCTGTTTATGAAACAGGAGATTCTGAGAATGTAAAGTACAGGGTGTTGTCATTTGAATACCTATCTTCTGCCTGCTTCCATCTCTCCTCTCAGCTCCCCCCACCGATGGCCCTGCCTTAGGAAGAGATGGGGAGATTTTCCCCCACCCTGCCTGGACATCCTGAATAGCATGGGAACAGGTTCCTTCTGGGCCCCAGCCCAGTGAGGAATGCACCCTTTCCTCTGTGCCCAGACATGTTGGGGCCCTGGATCCCTCCAGATGCTCCTCGGAGGGCGTGTGCTCGTTAAACAATCCTACAGGAGTAATTCTATTACAGTTAGCAAAGGGGACCCAAGGCTTATTTGTCTGTAGGGACCCCTTCATGCCTTTAAGGATTCTCTCTCCCCTTTTGACTCCCCCCCTTCCTCATCCTCATATATCTAAGGGTTCCCACACTTGGTGTTTCTCCTACCATGGCCCAGACACCCTCCATGGCACCAGGCCCAAGTAGACACTTCAAAGATGGAGCCTTCTCCCTCATTTAACTTGACTTTTATTATACAAGGAGGATGAACTAATTCAGGGATACATCCATGGTGTTAACAGATTTAGAGCTGGAGGGAACCTCATGTCCATCTCAGAGGCTGTCACATCCACCTTCTTCATTTTATAAATGATGACCTGAGAAGTCACATGCTAATTAGTGTCAGAGAGGATTTCAGCCAGGTCTTAGGATCATAGATTTAAAACTGTAATGGACCTGGGAGGTTATTAAGCACAATCCTGTCATTTTACAGATGAGGAAACTGAATCAAACAGAGATTAAGTGACTCGCCCAGGGTCATGAAGCTGGTAAATATCTGAGGCAGGATTTGAATTTGTGTCTTTCTGACTCCAAATCCAGAGGTCCATCCACTGTGCCATATTAACATGAGGTAAGGTATTAATTACTATGTTACTTTCTCTTCCAGGTAACATGTGCCCATTTGACAGGACTTAGAACCAGACAGCCTCTGAATCTCGACCTTAGCATGGTCACTTGGGAAAGCCAACCAATCCTGGAAGCAAAGGAAGCGGCTAAAGAGTATTGTGAGTAATTGTGTAGAGTTAGGGTTAGGGTTAGGGTTTGGAGGTAGGGTTTAGCTTGGACATTTAAGAAGAGAGAATGGTGCAGGTTGAGGGTAGATAAAGGACTGGCCTTAATCCTATTACTTTTGGGAAGATTTTGGGAGAGAAGAACTGGCCCCAGTAAACATTCAGTACACATGAAAGTGAAGAATTAAGAAACCTCTCAATGAAGGTGAAAGAGGAGACTGCAAAAGCTGACTTGAAGTTTAACATGAAAAAAAAAAAACCAGCTAAGATCTTGGCAACTGGTCCCATCACTTCCTGGGAAATGGAGGGAGAAGAAATGTCAGATTTTATATTCTTGGGCTCAAAGATAACTGCAAAGAGTGACCGTAGCCATGAAATTAAAAGACACTTGCTCCTTGGAAGGAAAGCTGTGACAAATCTGGTCAGTGTACTAAAAAGCAGAGACATCACTTTGCCGACAAAGGTCCATATAAGGAAACCCTTAGATATATGAGGATGAGAAAGAGGGAGAAGTCAAAAGGGGAGAGAGAACCCCTAAGTCTAAGTTGTAGTTTTTCTAGTAGCAATGTATGACTGTGAAACTTGGATTATAAGGAAAGCTGGGCACTATAGAATTGATGCTTTTTGGACTGTAGTGCTGCAGAAGACTTGGACAGCAAAGAGATCAACGCAGTCAATTCTTTTTTTTTAATGATAATTTTTAGTTATTTTTTTGTTTTCAACATTTACTTCCATGAGATTTTGAGTTCCAAATTTTCACCCCATCTCACCCCTCCCCCCACCCCAAGATGGCATGCATTCTGAATACCCCTTCCCCTAGTCTGCCTTCTCTTCTATCTC